TTTTAATATATATATTAATAATAAAAAAATATAATAAATACGTCCATAAAACAGAAAATAAAAAAACACTAAAAGAACAAGTTAAAGGGTTTTAAACGCATATTTTGATACATTAATGCATTTTGATATGTGCACGGCAAAGTTTAAAAAAATAAAAAATAAACAAAATAAATTTGGCAAAAACACTTCTTAAGCTCTCTTAAACTTATCTCAAAATAATATTTAAATCTTTAAATTAAAAATAAAGTAGATAAACCCTTCAACTTCATTAATGATGCAAATAAACCCTTCTTATTTATGGGTTTTTATACTTTTAAAGTGATATTAAACATGAAATACTGCTTAACCCATTTGTGAGAAGGACTTATTTGCATTAATTGTGAAATTAGAAGATTTATTTACTTTATTTTTAGTTCAAAAGTTTAAATATTATTTTGAAATAAATTTAAAGGTTTGAGAAGGGTTTTGCCAATAAATTAGTAATGGACCTAAAAATTCTTCCATAACTTTTAAACTCTGAAAACGTCGCCCAATATAAATGATGTCCACCGGCCCCACATAGAAACGTCTCGTCTGCCGTACGATTGCAATCCGCGTCTCTCCCCTCTCAATATTCAATGAACGGCCTAGATCATCTTTTGCGGTGACGCGGATCATGACTTCAAAGTTCGTATAGCCATCGATAACCCCTTTCAATCTACGGTCTGGATTCGCTAATTCAAATATCTCGAAAACACACAAAATTTTAATGTTCCCGCTTTTTCCAAATTTTGCCCTTATGAAAGACCTCCCAAATCCCTTTTCCTCAACGCAACACCAAAATCTCTCTGACTACTCTTGTTTTCTTCGAATTTGCAATGGCTCGCACCAAGCAGACAGCTAGAAAATCAACGGGCGGTAAGGCGCCGCGGAAGCAGCTGGCCACCAAGGCTGCTCGGAAGTCGGCACCGGCCACCGGAGGTGTGAAGAAGCCACACCGCTTCAGACCTGGAACCGTGGCTCTGAGGGAGATCAGGAAGTACCAGAAGAGCACTGAGCTTCTGATCCGAAAGCTTCCATTCCAGAGGCTGGTGAGAGAGATTGCTCAGGATTTCAAGACTGATTTGAGGTTCCAAAGCAGTGCGGTTGCAGCGCTTCAGGAGGCAGCTGAGGCGTACCTTGTGGGGCTTTTTGAGGACACTAATCTCTGTGCTATTCATGCCAAGAGAGTCACCATCATGCCTAAGGATATCCAGCTTGCTAGAAGGATTAGGGGAGAGAGAGCTTAAATTCCCAGTTGTGTATTCGATATGTACTTTCCTTTTTATTTTCATAAATTTCACTTAGATTCAATCATCTTGTAATTTAAATGGAAGATAATTTAGGAAAAACTTAAACTTTTTTATATCAGTTTTTTTTGTATAATTTTAGTGTTATTTAAATAATTAATTTTTTTTATTTATTTTAGATTTGTGATATTTGATGTATTTATTTATTTAATAATATGTAAAAATTATATAAAGAGGAATATAAAAAATTATTTCTATTTAGATTGTCAAATAAGAATTATTGCATGAGGAATGGTTTTTAATGTCAAGAAATTATTTTATAAAATCCAATTTGGATTGTAAAATAGTTTTTTTTTTTTTTTTTTATATGGAAGTCATTATCTAAATGAATTACAAAAGCATATGTTATTGCTATGATCTATAGATGGTGATGCAAGAGTTGATATTGAAATACCAATTTTAGTGAGGTTTGAAATTTTACTGCGATGAATTTGATTGCTTGGAATATTACTTAGGTTAACAAGACTTAGACACAGAGATAAATTGAGAGAATTCACTTTCAAAAAAACTCACTAAATAGAGAATTCTAAACTGAAATTTTTTATTAATACTTATGCATACAACAAAGGGAACATGATTATTTATAGGCAAAACCCAACTAAGGTAATAAATGAAAAGCAAAATGCAGTTGGGAGTTAGTCATTTTTGTAGACTTAAATGACTATTTTTGCTGACTTAATTGTGTGGCCATTTGACAAAATTGCACCAGCCTAGTGGTGCTACAGGGTAGCTTCTACATGCTTGTTGCATTTTTCTGGTGCATTCTCCCCTAGTTGGAGAAAACTCATCCTCAAGTTTGAGATCAATCTTCATGGTCCTCATAATAAAGAGATAGGTCTATGACATTAAAAGTAGCAGAGACTCCATAGTCACTTGGGAGTTTGATCTAGTAGGCATTATTATTGATCTTCTCCACTATCTGAAAAGGACCATCTGCTCTAGGGGAGAGTTTGGCATTAGGTTGGTTAGGAAACCTTTCCTTTTGAATGTGTATCTAAACCCAACCTTTTTTCAGTGCTTATCATGACAAGCCTTATACTTATTGGCTTGATGTTGTAGCTTCTAATGAACTTCTTCATGAAGTTTCTTGATCTCCTTGGCTTGTTGTTCAACATTTGCACTAAATTGTCGAAATGTGGGCAATGGAGTAAGATCTAAAGGGCTAAAAGGACGCACTCCATATACTACTTTGAATGGGCATTTTCCTGTAGCTTGATTTGAAGAGTTATTGTAAGCAAACTCAGCTTGGGCAAGCACAAGATTCCATTGTCGCAAATTCTTTCCCACAAAGCTTCATAATAGATTCTCCAAAATCCTGTTGAGAGCTTTAGTTTGACCATCAGTTTGGGGATGGTTGGCAAAACTAAACTAGAGTTGAGTGCCCATCTTTCTCCATAAAGTCCTCCGAAAATGCTTCATGAAGTTTACATCTCTATTTGAATTGATAGTCTTTGGTACTCCATGTAGACACACAATCTCTCTGAAATACAACTCAACAATGGGAGAAACATCATTAGTTTTCTGACAAGCAATAAAGTGAGCCATTTTAGAAAATCTGTCGACCACAACCATGATAGAATCCTTGCTTCATTGAGTTCGTGATAAACCAAGGACAAAATCCATGCTAACATCTTTCCAAGGTGATGTTGGGATAGGCAATAGCAGATACAACCCTGTGCTCTAATTGATTGTCTTGGCCTGATGACAAACTTTGCAGCTTTGAATGTGACGAATGTCATTCTACTCCAGCTTTGCCCAACAAAAATTTTCTTGGTTTAAATACCATTTTGGTCACTCAACTTTCCACTTTGGCAACAAAATTGTCCCGTAACTTTAAAAAGTACCAAAATTATCCCTAAACTTTCATTTTTGATATCAAAATGGTCCTTCCATCAGTTAAATGGACAGATGACACATTAATTTGCCAGCAAATCAATTCTTTTTTTCTGAACTAATGACATGGGAAAAAAAAAAAAGCATAGTTGGCCATCCTTTTTTATGAGTTCGCATTTTTATTTAATTTAAAAATAATAACATACTTTTTTTCCATCCACGTCAAAGAAAAGGGATCTCTTCTTCCTCTTCCACTTTCTCTCTCCTTTACCTTTCCTTTTCCCTTACCTTTGCAAACCCTCAAACTTGAAGCTTAGCATCATTGAGTTTGGTTTGAGTCATAATACATCAAAGATGTGTTGAAAATTCATAATTGTTTTTATTACCTGCTATGTTTGTTGTGGCTATAGTGGAAAATCTTTCAGCTTAACTTTTTTTTTTTTTTTTTTGGAATCTTGAATTCGTGTGTTTCTATTTGGTTTGGTTTAGGTGTGTTTGAATTGTGAATTTTTCTACGTAGTAAATCATTGAATCAGCCAAGAATTCATGGACGAGGTATTTGCGCAGAGCAAAAGGTTGTTTTCCAATTATAGATCTGGGTTTTCTCTCTCAAACTTCATCTTCTTCCTCCTTTCCTCTTTCGACAATTTTACCTCCTCATTCTCTATCAACCTTCCTCCTTTTCCCTACTCATCCTTCTTCTTTTTTCCTTCTTATTATTTCTCTCTCTCTTCTCCCTTCTTCTTCCTCTCCAGATCTAGGATTTTCTCAAACCTAGGTCTAGGTTCTCAAACCAACCCTAAATCAATCTATTCTATCTCAAACCTTTTCTCCTTTTCCTCTTCACCTCTGGTACTCCCTAATTAATTTTGATCTGAAGCTGGTTCAAGGCAGCTATGTGGTCAAGGTTGTGCCAATGCCAAAGCTTTAGGGGGTCACATGAAGGCCCACCTTGCCACCCTTCCCCTTCCTCCCAAGACCAATGGCGACGATGGTGGTGATGATGACTCTGCTTCTTCTTCGTTGTCTTCTTCCGGGGAGGAGTAAAAGTCGGAGTAAGAGCAAGAAAGCAAGAATAGGGAAGTTTTGGAAAAGAAGCTTTGGTTTATAGGTTGAGGGAGAATCCCAAGAAAAGTTTCAGGTTTGTAGATCTTGAGTTCTCCTTCACACCAGATTTTGGGTCTGTTGTTCAAAAGGGGGAGAGCGAGACTAAGTCGAGAAACCCAACTCGTAAATGATCAAGGAGGAATCAGAAATTGGTTACCCCGAAGGGTGGGAACCAAAATTTGGAAAGGGAAGAGATGCCGAAGGAGATGGAGAAGGAGAAGAAATGTTGGCCTAGGGACGAGAGAGAGAAAGAAGGGAAGAGTGAAGAGGAAGGGAAGAGAATAAGGAAGAAGAAGGTTAAATTTTGGAAATGACTTTAATTAATTAATAATAAATGGTTCCTATTAATTTATTAAAATTAAAAATGTCACATAAAGAAAAAAAAAGTGCCACCTCATCCATTTTCATGTGTTATCTTTTCCACATTAGTATTTTTCAAAAAAGAATAGATTTGCTGGCAAGTTAATGTGCCATCTATCCATTTAACTGACGGAAAGACTATTTTGGTATTGAAAATGAAAATTTAGGGATAATTTTGGTACTTTTTAAAGTTAAAGGATAGTTTTGGTGCCAAAGTGGAAAGTTGAGGGGCCAAAATGGTATTTAAACCAGTTTTCTTTAACAAGAGCTAAAGTCTTGTCTCTCCCAAAATGACCAGCTAATCCACCATTATGTGCTTCTCAGATAATTGAATCTTGGACTAAGCAACGTGGAACACATAGTTGGTTACCCTTGAATAGGTAATTTTACTGACGATGATATTGTTGAAAGGTTTGATTGGAAGTGGCTTTCCAAATGCTGCTAAAATCAAGATCATCCTCATACAACTCCTTGATCACTTCAAATCCAGTGACTTTCATCTATAAGGAAGTAAGCAAGGTGTGTTGACAACTAAGAGCATTAGCTATGCGATTATGGACTCTATATTTGTATTTGAGGAAAGGATAAACTTGTAGAAATTCACTCCAAGTAGCATGCTGATGACTGAAATTCTATTGAGCATTCAAATGCTTCAATACCTTATGGTCAGAGTGCAGGATGAATTCTTTTGAAAGAAGATAATGACTCCAAGGCTCGAACAATTGCATAGAATTCCTTGTCATAGATGGAATATGTGAACTTTGTGTCATTCAACTTTTTGCTGAAGAAGGCAATGGGTTGTCCTTCTTGACTTAATACTGCACCAATTCCAATATTAGAAGCATCGCAATCTACTGTCAATGATGACATTACAGTCTTTCCCTCGAGAAGTACATCTGGTGTGAAAGATGTTATGTCAAAGCCAATCTTCATCTTTGGTTATGGTAGCATAAAGACTTCGACACACAACCAAAGATTCTCCGTGGTCAGCTGTGATGAGTTCTTCCTCAAGATGTGGTGACTTAGTTTCATCATTATGCTCCTTTTTTGCTTCACCGTCTGAGACTTCATGAACTTCTTCTCCAATAATGGTGACAACTCTCCTGTTTGGACAGTCAAAGGCAATGTGGCCAAATCCTTGACACTTGAAACACTTTTAAGTGTTAGATTGGGCTGGACGGCTTGAACTAGCTTCCTTCTTAGCCTTGGCAGGAGTCTTGGCAACAGTTTTTGAGGCTTGAATCCCTCAATTGACTCTAAAGTCCCGTTGTTTTCAAGCACTAGAGATATTCTTCTTTGAGATTTGCTTTTCAACCCTCAATGCTAGCCAAATGACATCATCCAAAGTCCAATATTGTTGAAGTTGAACAACTTTGGAAATGTCATAATCTAATCATCTAAGATATCTTGCTATGGTTTGCTCTTCCTTTTCTCAAACATCACACTTCATCATTAATTATTTGAACTCCATAGTATATTCTTTCATAGTCAAAGATTTCTGCTACAAGTTATGAAATTTAACAAAATTATCTTGGTAGTAACTGTCAAGTAAGAACTTACAAGTGAGTTCTCGACGCATTTTCTCCCAAGTTCTAATTTTGTTGCGGCCTTCTCTTTCTCAACTATGCTTGAGATTCTCCCATCAAATGGATGCATGTTTCTTCAATTTGATGGCAACAAGCTTCACATGCTTGTCGTCAGGAATATCCTTAAGTTCAAATACAAGTTCCACAGTGTGCAACCAATCGATAAATTCATCAGGTTGAAGGTGACCTTCAAAATCTGGAATATTGATTTTGATGCCAAGGTTGGTGCATTTGTGAGTAGCATTTCGTTGTGGATGACGATGACAAACATTTTTTGTTGATGATGAGCTTTCATTATCCCTTAGGTAATGAAAGGGATTCTCATCGTCAAAATCTTCCTCTGAATCATGTGATTCATCTTAAGAATGTTGAGCTTATTGACTCTCAAAAGCTTCAAGTCTCTCTTGAAGTCTTTGAATTTGTTGACGTAATTCTTCCATCTCTACATCTCGAACAGCTTGTTGACAAGGAGGATTTTGTCTTCTAGGAGGCATGTTGAGTTTAGGTTGGTAAAGAGGCCTTTTGGAAAGTTGGTTTTTGGAAGTGGTGGTGATTTAAAATTTATAAAAATATGGGGGCCAATCTGTAAAGTCAAAATAAGTTGAGGGACTTAATGACATGGCAACAGGATGCAGTGTTCTGCTAATGTGTCAATGACGTGGTAGGTGATATGGCTATTGACTATGTGATGACGTGGCAAATGGGTGATGGGGCAATGAGGTGATAGATGATGTGGTGTGTATGGATGGTGTGGAAGTGATTGTATGATGATGTGGTGATGACGTGGTGATGACGTGGCAAGTGACATGGCAGTGTGAGGGTTGAAGATGACCTGTGCATGAATTTCATGCAAGTTGTAGTGGTGGGCGTGGTTGGCGCGTGAAACAATGGCAATGGCAAGTTGAGGCACATGGGACACTTTTCGACGGCCAAATTTTCACTAGAGTGCTTAGAATGACGTGCAGACCTCAAATATGTTGACTCTGATATCAAATGATGCAAGAGTCAATACTAAAACATTAATTTTGGCGAGATTCACTATTGGAAAAGCGGGTAAATACGACAAAAACATATTCGACAGCCAACTAGCTGTCGAATAAAATACAATATTCGACACCATTATTGTCGAATCAGGTTGATTGTCGATGATAATCGATTTTTTGGCTCATAATCGACAGAAAACTTATTCAACAACTATTCTGTCAAATATGTGCTTTTATTCGACAGCCCACTAGCTGTCGAATATGTATAATCGATAGCCAAATGGCGGTCAATTATGTTTTTAATACATTCGACAGCAATGCTGTCGAATATATAGGAAACGTCGTCGTTTCCTCTGTATATTCGATAGCATTACTGTCGAATATACTCGATCCTTAAGCCCCCGTTCCTCCTTTCTTTCCCCATTTCTTCTTCTTCCTCTGCGGTAGATCTAGTTCGTTTTCTCCGACCCTGTGATTGCCGTTGCCACTGGATTCTGGCTTCTTGCCATCGAGCACCTTGCTATCGGAATATCCGGTCGGTGAGTTGGCCCCTCTACGCAACGATCTGGTGTTAATTTTTTTTTTTCCTTTGATTTACATTCGGCATTTGTAGGTTTCCTTGTAGATCCGTGTGTTTTGGTGCAAGATCCATCGCCTCTAAGCCACCACGCGCCTCCATCCTGCCTTTTGTAAGTTACAGCAGTCTCTGTTTTTTTTTTTTTTTTTTTGGTTTCTTTCCTTATTTTTTCCTTAGATTTTAGTTTACAAGACTTTAATTTCGTTTTGGTATGTCAAAATCCAGCTTTTACTGCCTTCATTGCCTCCACAGCATTACGATCCTCATTGACAGAGGTAATTGATATTTTTGTGGTTTTTTTATACAAAATTATATTGTTTTATTTGTAGATTAATGTAGATTATTATTATTATTGTATAAATTATCAGTAAATTGCTGTTGTTTCTTTCAAGTTTTTGAGATTGAAATTCGTATGTTA